AGTTTGAAACAAATAAAATTAAGAAAATAGATATTTAATTACACTTTTAATAAATTTAAGATAATACTAGTTTTGATTTTTATTTTTAAATATTTATTTTAATTATTTAAAACAGAGAAACTATAATTTTAGTTTCTAGCTACCTGAATTTAAAGAATTAAATTTATTATTATTTAATCTTTTAATTTGTAGAATTAAACTCAATATAATTGTTAAAAATACTTTGTAGAGGCATTTGAGAAAGCTTTTGTCAAAATACTTTGTTTTTAATTGTTAAAAACATTTGTAGAGGCATTTTGCAAAATCTTTTAAGTGAAGAAACCTCATGCAACAGAAATCTTTTAATTTTAGTATTTAAAATTTAAATTATATTTTATTAAATTAAACTAATTACAATATATTTTTTTACTTTGAGAATGAACAATATAATTAAACTCAAAATTGACAATATTATAATACATTTTTGAACTCTTTTGGATTATTTTTTTTTCCTAATTTTTGATAAAGTTAATTTTAATATTTAAAAGTATTTAACATTTTGAATTCTGAAAGGTTTTCTCTAATAGCAAATTTAAAAACATAATATTCAAAAAAATAGTTAATGTAAGTTTTCAAATTGAGGAGATATGATAGCGGCTCCACGTTAACCGCTATCTAAAGTATAATTTACATAGCGGTTAATGGTTAACTCGCTATCGAAGTGCACTTTTAAGAGCGGTTCTTGTGGAACCGCTATCTAAAATGTATTTCGCTTGAGCGACAATATTCTCGCTCGAGCGAAACGCCCCTGCACAAAATTGGCATTCTCGGGTTGTATTTCGCTTGAGCGACACTATCTCGCTCGAGCGAAATACGATTCTGATCGATCATAACTTGAAATGATCGATCATAATTAAGAGGATATAATAGCGGTTCCCTTATAACCGCTATCCGAAGTGTATATTAGATAGCGGTTAAGGCTTATACGATATTCGAAGTGTATTTCGCTTGAGCGAGATTACTCTCGCTCAAGCGAAATCCGTTTCGATCGATTATATTTTCAAAATGATCGATCATATTTGATAATTTTTTCAAATAATTAATTATAATCGATTAGTTTTCTAAATTATTGATTAGTTTTTCAAATAATAGATTAGAATTGATTAATTTCTGAAATATATACTAAAAAATTATAATTAAAACTATAAATTAGTTAAGAATATTGACTATTGTAAAGATAAAGTAGAACATGGGAGGAGATGAGGATGATAATATAATGATAGAGCTTACAAAAATGTAGAATTGAGAAGTTTGAAACAAATAAAATTAAGAAAATAGATATTTAATTACACTTTTAATAAATTTAACATAATACTAGTTTTTATTTTTATTTTTAAATATTTATTTTAATTATTTCAAACAGAGAAACTATAATTTTAGTTTCTAGCTACTGAATTTAAAGAATTAAATTTATTATTATTTAATCTTTTAATTTTAGTATTAAAATTTTAAATTATATTTTATTAAATTAAAATAATTACAATATATTTTTCTACTTTGAGAATGAACAATATAATTAAACTCAAAATTGACAATATTATAATACATTTTTGAACTCTTTTGGATTAATTTTTTTTCCTAATTTTTTATAAAGTTAATTTTAATATTTAAAAGTATTTAACATTTTAAATTCTGAAAGGTTTTCTCTAATAGAAAATTTAAAAACATAATATAAAAAAATAGTTAATGTAAGTTTTAATTATGATCGATCATAACTGCATTCTGACCGATCATAATTGAAACCATATAATAGCGGTTTCAGTTTAACCGCTATCTAAGTGAGCTTTTAAGAGCGGTTCCCCTTCTAACCGCTATCTAAAATGTATTTCGCTTGAGCTGAAAATCTTCTCGCTCGAGCGAAACGCCCCTGCACAAAAGTGGCATTCTCGGTTGTATTTCGCTTGAGCGATTCTAATCTCGCTCGAGCGATGGTGCAACCGCTATTAGTAAAGATATGTAAAGATATGTAAAAATATAAACATATAAATATATATAAAAATATGTAAAGATATAAACATATATCTTTAATATTTTGTAAATGTAAATATAATTTATATATATTTTTAAATCTTTTTCTAATATTTATTTTTAAAAATATAATATTATTTTTAAAATTTAATATTTTTTTTCAAATATATAAATATATAAAGATATAAATGTATAAGGATATAAATAAATATATAAATATATCAATATATAAATATATCAAAATATAAATATATAAATATATTAATATATAAATATATCAATATATAAATATATAAATATATATAAATATATATAAATATATATAAATATATATATATATATATATATATATATATATATATATATACAAATATATCAATATATCAATATTATCCCCTCATATATTAATATACATTATTAGCATAATTTTAATTTAATTAAAAATTAGAATACAAATATACTATACTATACTAATATACCATTATATTATTTTCATTGTATATAAATTACAAAATTAATAATTTGTATACTATACTATAATAATATATTATTTGTATACTATACTAATAATATAATATACTATATTATAATATTATTTGTATAGAAAACTAATATCTTTATATATAAATATGAAGTTATAAATATATAAAAATATAAATATATGTAAAAATATATAAAGATATAAATATATCAATATATAAATATATCAATATTTAAATATATCAATATTTAAATATATATTAAAATATATAAATATATTTTTATTTATAGATTTTATATTTATATATTTGTACGGATATACATTTTTTGTATATAAATATAATTTATTTGTAAGTTATTATTAAAAGATCCTAGTAGCTCGGTGGTTGGAGTTTCAGCCTCCAACTCTAAGGTACTGAGTTCGAATCCTGACAATGACAATAAACCACCTAATAATAAGTTAAACTTCTAAAAAATATAATATAATTAAGAGATAGGGAAAATAAATAATAGATATAATAAAAATGTAAATAATTAAATTTGTTATTGATTAACTTTTTCATTGATTCAGTGGCCGATTTGGTTATATATATTCGGTCACTGAATCGGTCACTGATTCGGTCACTAAAATCAGTGACCAAGGAAATAATGACCGATTCCAGTTGGTCACTATTTTAATTAGTAACCGATTTTGTACATTTAGTGACCGAATTTTCGGTCACTATTTGATGTTTTTCTTGTAGTGGTTGTTGACTTGAATCATCATCAAAATTATCTCTTGGGAATATAGGGACATTTTTTACATTGTCATCAATCTCCCCTTTATTGTTTTCAATGTCCGTTATAATAACATCATTAGGGTCAATTTCCATGTCCGAGGTTTTGTCCGCTTCAGAGTTCTTATCCATCACAGTTTTGTCCTTAAAATGCGTCTCGATGGGTTGAGAGAGGATGATGTGTATAAACTACGGCCTTGACTCTTAAGTGATGTGAGACTCAGAAGTGTGCCAGATTCTATCTATGAACGAGAGTGTCCTGGCCTTATGTCCACTATGATGATATCGTTAGGGTCAATTTCCATGTATTGTCTGCTTTTGAGCTCTCATCTGCCACAGTTTTGTCTTTAAAAAGACACTCTGGTGGGTTAAGAGAGGAGGATGTATACAAACTACCCTTGACCTCAACTCCTAAGCGATGTGAGAGTTGTGAGTGTACCAAAATATAAGCCTCCCAGGCGAGGACTAAGGTGTATGTATGAGTGGAGCGAGAATCTTCTCTTGACCCCACAGTAGATGTCAATGTTCCGTCTTGGAACGAGAGTGTCCTGACCTCATGTCCGCTATGATAACATCGTTAGGGTTGATTTTTTTTGTTTGAGATATTGTCCGTTTTGGAACTCTCGTCCGTCACGGTTTTGTTCCTAAAAGGTGTCTCAGTGGATTGAAAAAAAAGGGTGTATATAAATTACCCTTGGCTTCGCGACTCCTAAATGATGTGTGACTCATGAGTGTACCGGATTCTATATAGGAACAAGAGTGGCTCGACCTCGTGTCCGCTCTGATGACATCATTAGGGTCAATTTCCATGTTCAAGATATTGTTTGTTTTGGAGCTCTCGTTCGTCACGGTTTTAACTCCAATAATATTATCATAGTGGATATGAAATCGGAACACTGTTGTTTTAAATAGAGAGTATATATAATCTAATTGTTCGTATAAATGTTTTTGGGTGATATCCTTTGAAAATACTTATGATGCAAAAAAAACATGTATTCTTGGCTAAAGTTTTTTATTTAATCTTTTTACTGCATACCATTCAGTTATACCATTTTAATTACATCAACTGAATTTTCATTACAAAGTATGTACAAGATTTGTTTAAAAGATGAATGATATGCATGAAATATATTTTTAATTATAAATAAAGTTTCATATGAGTCTCACTTTTTATAATAATTATACTTTTGATTTAACAAAATCTACATAAACTTCAATGACTAATAGAATATGTAAAAAAAAAAAACGTGTCAAAAGCATTTTTCTTCTTTAAAAAGTAAAAAATTGATGAACTTTTGATTTTTGGTGTGTACTGTTTAAGGGTGCTATACGTCTTCTTGTTCACACCAGTAAACAAGGAATCCCCATATAAAAAATCATAGAACCAAAGCCCTAGCTTCTCCCCCTTCCTCTCTTCCCTCTCATAGATCTATTTTCTCTCCTTGCTGTCTTTCTTTCTTATCATTCTTATCTTTACGTTTGGTGGATCCAAACCCGAGTATCATCCACTATGAAAGATTTAACTCTTTCCACTCCATATTGATCCTCAATCCCCATGATGAAAAATACAACTTCAAAGACAGCCAATAATACTTGGAAACTTCGAAATAGGGCCACGTTAATGATCAATTAATTTATATATATTTATATGCATAAATATCCCAGGCACAGCACAAACACACACACACACACACTATATATATATACATCACTCAGTTGCTAGAGTGGGTCAAAGACATGGAGAGAAGATCACATTCGGCTGAAAGAGAAGAGGAAGATGATCTGTTCCCAGTATACTCGGAAAGGTCACAGCAAGACATGTCAGCCATGGTCTCTGCCCTCACACAAGTCATAGGTGGCTCCAACAACGATTCTCTTCACCTTGAAGACCTTTTAACTTCTTCCCACAACACCTCATCCCAGAATAGTAATGAACAATCTCAATTGCCACAACAAGATCAAGGTACGTGTTTCACTCACAAAGACTCGCACTAGTTGCTATCCTTTTTATCATATTTTATTCATTGAGTTCGAATTGGATTTCAAGGCTAGGGTTGATTTTTATGACTGGGATATTATTTGTAGCTTGAAAACTCTTTGCTTCAGTCAAAGTGTTCACAAACGCTATACCTAAGTTTGATATTTCATGTTCAAGTACCCATGTCATTAGCTAGTGCAACAAACATTAAAGACTTTTATTTTGTCTCTTAGAACCATTATCTTCTCTTGCGAGAGGCCACAACATGTATGAGTCAGGTTCATACACATCTCTTCATTTTTTGTTTCCAGAACTGAACTGAGGTTTAGCGCAGTCCCAAGGTTACTGCTGACGTAGAAGCCTTTAGTTTAAATTTTGAAAATAAGTTCAGAGCTTTGTTTCCCTTTATTGTCTTTTTTAAAATCTTGATTCTAATTTTTATATATAAATAATATACTTGTGTTTTTTTTTTTACAAAAGAAAGACGAGGATCTCCTAATAGTAATTTTCATGGACCACACTTAATAGGTATAATATAATGTAACGAAAACATGTAAATAAAAACATTGTATTAATAAAATGTTTGGAACTATTAAGTGTCCACATATTAATACTCAGACCAAAAATACTAGTTACGAAGCTGAAAGCCAATTGTGAGAATACAAGAGTCCCACTTAAAATACAAGTTGATGAAGCAATTTAATTAGAGACAAAATTTACATCCTACATACTTTATAGATATATTGGTGTTGTGACCCGACTAAACTTAGAATTTTATTTTGACAATTTACTTCTTACTCTTAAAAAATGTCTTGTATATTTTCATGATAAAAATGATGCAAACATGATTGCAAAACAATACCAACTAAATATATAAGACATTTAATTTATGCTATCACTAGTGAAAAGTATTGTATGAATTTAGTAAAATTCTGAATTGTGAAGGGAGTGGAAGAAGAAGACACTATAGAGGAGTGAGGCAGCGTCCATGGGGAAAATGGGCTGCAGAGATTCGTGATCCGAAGAAGGCAGCGAGGGTGTGGCTTGGAACTTTCGAAACTGCAGAAGCTGCAGCTCTTGCTTACGATGAAGCTGCTCTCAGATTCAAAGGAAGCAAAGCCAAGCTCAATTTCCCTGAGAGGGTTCAAGGAACTGGCGAATTTGGTTATCTCACAAATCAACACCTCTCATCAACCAGCACCAGCAGTGACCAAGCTTCCAACCCTGTTGCTCCACACATCACTCAAGAAACATATTCACCAAGTCACTATCACTATCCACAACAGATCATTGATGGTGGTGGAAGTAACAGCTTCAATAATCAAGACATGCTTCGTTTCTATGGGGGAGACATGTTTGTTTCTTCTCAGCCAGCTGCATCTTCGTCTTCTTCCACTGCTCTCTCTCAGCAGCAAGAAGAGTTTCTGAGATTTTCGATGCAGTTCGGAGGCGCTTCTTCTGAGCCTCCTAGGAATTGGAGGGGTGATGGATACTGAAGAGGATACGATGTTGTTGATGTTCCACAACTCATGGTTTCTCTATGTTTTTCGTTTGTCATGGCATTGCATTGCATTGCATTGCATGCTATTATGATATTTTCATTATAATTAATGTTGCCCTTAGGTTATTTTAATTTTCTATATGTTTGTTGTGAATGGAATGTTTGTTAAATTGAAAAAGCATGGAGTTGGTACTTGAGAAAGGAAGGATAGATCACCAAATCTTAGCTTTACTCATTGACTGCTGTGTCGTATACAACACTATATTAAACTAGTAATGTATTTTACTGAATATTTAAACATTTAAGAAGATTTCAAAAGTTTGAATACCACTATCTCGTTTCTTTTCAAATGAAGTTTTTAAACGTAGTTTATGGTTTTTTTCTTTTTAAGATATTGAGAAAAAAAATTCTTTTTAATGTTAATAATTTTCGTTTAAATTTTATTCTAAACTTTGAAAATTATACTTAGAAATAAAAATATTTCAAAACTGACAGTAAAAAATCCAAAGAATTAATGATTTTGTATACATTGATTACTGGAGAGATAAAAAATCATCCTAAAATATGCTGAAACTGAATAAGGTTTTTGATTGAATAAATTTTTCAATATCCAGAAAAAGGAATTATTTTTCGTATAAGTTAAAACTAATTTATATAAAAAATAAGTTTGATTTTTAGAAAATTAAGTGAGAATTTTCATAAAAATTGAAGTTTATGTGTTGGTTTTAGTTAGATATATTCGAAACCGAACTAATCTAAAAATAAAAATAAAAAATTGATCTAAAAAATAAAATTGATTAAAATCGAAATATTTTAGATTAAAAAATTTATTAGTTTATGGGTTCGATTTTCGATTTCACAGTTAAGAATGAATCAGATTGAACCGAATCAAGACATATATATTATTAAAATTAAAATATAAAATAATATTTATTATGAGTGAGTTATTCTTTTTTTTCTTATAATTTAAGATATATTATTATTATTATTATTATTATTATTATTTGAATTAAATATAAAAACATATGAAAATATATAAATTAAAACTATGAATATTACAGTAATTATAAATGATATTTTTATAATATATTTTTTATTTAATAATTATTTTTATTATAATAATTTTATAATAAAAAATAATTCACAAAAAATATATAAAATCAAATCGTAAAATATTGATTTAATTTGATTTGAATTTTAAAAAAATGAAACCAAATTAAACTATATTTAAATTTTATGTTTGATTCATAAGACTTATTAATACAAAATCCAAACAAAATGCATTAAGAACACTCTTAGTTTTAATTTATAAAATAAATTTATTTTATATATATATATATATATATATATATATATATATATATATATAAAGATTGGTGGAGATCACGATACACCAAATATAATTAAATTTTATGACAATATATATTATATGCAGAAGATAAAGATGTGTTGAGCGAACTGTTTGTGAGGTTTAAAGCGACAATTTGAGCAAGATAAGGAAAGAACCGAAAAAAGAAGCAGAAATTGGGACGTAAGAAAGATAGAGTGGTGGGTGTTTGAGATTTATAGGTGTGTAAAGAATCAAGCATCAAGCATCAAAATATGAAACCTCACGCAGGTTTGAACACTAACGTTAAATTCTTAACCTGAATCGTTCAAGGATGGCTGAGACGCGTATATTAATGTCGGCTTTCAATGTTTCATCATTAAGTTGCTACACTTAACCTCTACAACTACAACAAATCAATTATTCTGATTTTCTTACGTTACGTAAATAACATCATAGTGGTGAAATGTTGTCACAAGAAATATAATAAAAAAACATTTACCAGCACTAATGAAAAAGAATATTAAACGATTATTCATGACCGTTGATCCACTCATTTATTTTATTCTTTTTAAAATTGTCCTGAAAAACTAATATAAAAAAAATTCTAACTTATTATATGGATTAAAAAACTTAACAAATTATATATATATATATATATATATATATATATATATATAGAGAGAGAGAGAGAGAGAGAGAGAGAGAGAGAGAGAGATAAAATACGAAACCTACCCAAATAATAGCAGCTTCGATCTATCGTGAATATTGTGTTTTTTTCTCTCTCGTCAAAATTAACATGAGAATATCATATAATTGAAAATTGCCCGCTCATTTTTCTTTTGTTTTACCTTTTCAATAATTTTGAAAGAAAATTGTCCTTCTATTTATTATTTTATGTTGATGTTATTAAATATAATTTTGTTTTAATTACACTGTTACTAATTATATAAAATTATCATTTTAGACACTACAAAGTGTTGAATAGATATGAGAAATGTTAATTTTACAACACTAAAATTTAAAACAGATATAGTATTTTTGAATATACAAATTATATTATATTCTACCAAAACTAATTATTATGATTAAACAGAAATGAAAAGTATTCTGGATGAAGTTTTTCGTGTTAGAAAAAAATAGTAAATTGAGAAGAAAGAATTAATCATATTGTTTGATGTGCAGGGAATATTTGGTTGAAAAGAATAATGTAGAAACATTGCATTGGTCCATTTGTTGTAATTGGTTTTGATATGCACGCGGGTGTGTGAAAGCTTCTTTCTTTCTTATTGGGTGGTTACAAAGCGGAAAGAAAAAATCAAAGTTGAACCGCCACCACCCTTGAGCTTCCCCGTGGCACGTGTAACACAAACCAATTTCTCATTCATTCACATTTTCTCATGCACAACAAAAACCTTAATATAGCAAAATTAATTTCCTCAAAATTGGTTAGCACAAAAAGAGAAGGTTGGCACATGTAGCACGCAACTTCTGAAGAACATTGACATAAAAAAACCAATGTAGTTGAAACATGAATATTGGTCAAACAAATATATGGTAATGTACTAATGTTGTAGAGTATGAGTCGCTGAATTCGGCAGAGGGTGACCAAAAAGTCCTGATTGAGCAAGCTTATCAACCTGCGAAGAAGACTTGTTGGATGGAGATTTTCATTGTTAATGACTCAAAATCTCACTCTCTGGCTCTCAGCTCTGATTTTTCACCGTTGAATAACACCTCATCATCAGCTTCCCCTTCACTACTATAAAAATCCACTTGTTGCTCTTTGGAATTATCAGTGCGACTTGTACTTGTACGGTTTAGGTTACAAGTCTACTACTCCTCTCTTTCAAAATATATATAATATAGATCACAAAATATATAAATATATATTAAAAATTAAATCATTAATATTATTTTTCATTATTTTTAATAAATTTACTCATTTTTCTATTAATACTTTTACCATCTTATATTTTTTATCTAAAATAATTCTTAATAACATGTTATCTTCTCTCTACATTAAATATAATTAAAAAAATTAAAGAGTTAATTAATAAAAAAATAATTAATACAATCTCAAACTAAATAAATCACGTATATTTAAAAATCATTTTTTCTCAACAAAAATCATATATTTTAAAAAAGTAATAGAATTTAATGTCATTTTCAACCTAAATTTTTAATATATATATATATATATATATATATATATATATATATTATGTATTACTCATTTTATCCATTCTACCCCGTATATTCATTCACATTTGATTTTTTTTTTCAACACAATTAGTTAGTGTCATAATTAAATATCATTGTACTAACAAAGAGTTCTTAATTTAAATTATAATTAAAAAATTAAAAACTTTAATAATATCATATTATTATTTAAATAGTTAAAAGTGCCATTTTAGATTAAATTTTAACTTTACAATAATACATTTAAAAATTATTACTTACAAACACACAAAATTCAATTACGTGTAAATATTCACACCAACAAAAATATGGATTATCGAATATAAATAATTATAAATTTATATTTTTTATATTTTTTATTTATTTTGAATTTATATATTTCGTATTACATCGCTATATTAAAACTTGGAGAAGACATAAATTATTATTATAATTTTTAATAGGCTTAGTATTGTTTCAATACAACATTTGTTCAATAAAAATACAATTATTTATCTTATTTAATTTTAATGTTAAATTTAATATGTTATTAAATATTTAATTTTTTATTATGTACATGTATCTAAAGAATACTAAATAAAATAATATAATTTAAACAAATAATACCTGCATCGCACGTTTAGGTCACAAATACTATATTTTAATGTAGTATTTTATTGCATGAGTTACTAAATAAGTTACATTTTGATTTTATGAAATAGAAGTTGGGTATGGCGAAAGGATTAGTCTTTCAGACAAAACAATGTTTAAATATTTACTAGAAAAAATGTGTACATTAGTATTCAAGCATATATATATGCATATCACAAAACCCTACATGTGGAAAAAACTCAATTAATAACTGCCTTTATCATAGGTCAATATGTACTTGAACTTATGTAATATAGTATGGAATTATTGTAAGTTTAAAATTATGAAAAATTGTGAATCATCATCATAAATGACTACATTGTATGTTTTGGTAGATTGAAAATTAATTGTAAAATGTTACATATAACAATAAATTACATGCGATGTTTGTAAGCTACACTTTATTTGATTTGAAAAGTTTACGTTGAAAATAAAACAAAGATTCAATTCGGTTCTTGACCACCAATTTTGTATTGATTTCAAATGTTCATCATCCAGCTTCAACAATTTTTTTTTTTTAACTTATTTAGTGTCTTTAGTGTTTTTTTTTAGTGAAACAACTAGTAATGAGAAATTTTCGATTAGATTTTTCATTTTTAATCTCAACTAAGATTTAAAAATAGGATGATTTTATTTACTGGTCAAATGTTTAACAACAGATATATTGGTTAGTAATTTCATCAAATGACAAATATATATTTATCGGTAAATACAAGTAGGTTTCTCATGTTTGTATTTAAAAGACGAACACATTAATTAGTAATTATTGATAGACCTATTTATTGGTAATTATCAATAGACTAGACTGTTAGTAAGTTTTTTATGAAGATATTCAT